TGTGGCTTTCCTCTTATTACCTTCAGAACCTTCTTTTGATGCGGGGTCGTTGCAGGCCTCAAAAAGTGAATGGTATATCTCATGTCCGACATTAAGGGGTGATGGGCTAAGCTTTATATACCCAAAATCCATAACAGAGTTATCAAACCAGAAAATAAAAAGGTGATATAAGTTTCCCCTCAAATTATATACATTTTTAAGTTACCGTTTTAATATTTTGTGTGAAACGAACAATGTTTAAAATGATTCAAAATTTGAATAAAGAGATGGTCTTTCTACAAATAAGCAAATTTCTTATTACAAACACGTATCCAACGTATCAAAAGGTCTGATTTCTAACGTGCTTTGTTGACAAGCAGAGAACTTCAGGCACGATTGACGTTGTCTGAATGTTTCGATATATGGTTTGGTTTAAAACAATGTGAGCTTTTTTCTCCTTTGATATTCATCTCTTCTTTCGATGTAATTGATAAAGATTTTGAGCTGTTATTATCTTATTTGCCGACGACTTTGCAATGTTTACTACGAATCCTGCTATTTTACAGCCTAAAAAACATAGGCCTAATTCTGTAAATATAGATTCTTATATACTGTATTTACGGTGAGAACATTTAAACTTATTGAAACATTTTGTTTATGTATACAGCCTAAATGACTTTTGCAATAAATGCAATATATAACCAGCCATTCAGATCATACCACAATATAAAGATTTTATTAGATTAAGTAAAATTGGATGTTGAAACCAAATTGTTATTATTTGATATGATGGTCATCCCAAACTTTCTAAAGCTTTACGATGTAAGCCAGGTTGTTATAATAATTTTAAAAAAGGGTTTAAATTTGAAATTATGTTATATCATTGTTAATGACGATCTTAAAAATACGCACTAATAGCTTTTTCATTTTTAGCTAACATAATATAGGAATTGTGACCGGTCGTTATAATCGTAACTGAAAATATTGATATATTGTGTGCATTGTGCAACCAAAATGTCATTGAAAATGAGTGATATTTAATGCGTTGTTGTAGTAAATATAGGAAACCTTAAAATGAAATGTTGCAATAAATGGTGGCTTTCTAAAAATATTTTTAAAATATACTATTCACAAGAACAAACTAACATATTAAAGATGCTTTTAGGATTGTTAACAAATTAGATAACTATTGAGCCTAAAAGAACTATACACTTTTAGACCACCGACTCTGACATATAATTATGAAACAGTGTAACTGAAATTTTAGTTACAATGTTACACCTGCCTTAAAACCCGGGGATGACTTTTTTGCAAATTCAACTTAGAGTAGCTAAAACAATCATCTTCATAATTATCTTTCTAAAATAAAGAATCAAATCAAAACAAGTCACCATGAATTATCATTAATATATGATTAAAACCTCAATCTATTGATGGAATGTAAACATAACAAACTCGTATAAATAATTTTAGATCTGAGCTGAAGTGGAATTATTGTAATTAGTTTGGACATTTCCTTGTGGAATTTTTTTTTTAATATCAGATACTTCGAACACCACATGCTTTTATATAAATTGCCTTATATAACAAACAGTTCCAAACACCTGAGAAATTAGACTATTATAAATCAATTATTCATTTCCTTTTTCTACTTAGAAAAAATGTTTAGATGCATGAAAGTTTTTAAATCAGTTTCATACCTTGTTATTGCATTTTGATATACATGAACGATTATGTATTTATTTAATAAGCTTTCCCGTAAAGTGTGATCAAAACATGAATAACACCGCGTATATTTGTCGTTTTTTTCAACAATTTATCTTTAATTAAGATGAAAATATATGTGTTAAATAGGCAAGCCTGTATACTTACATTTACGAATAAAAGAAAAAATTATTTCTACACCGTTAACTGAACAAACAATTATGTGTCTATCACTATAAAGCGTGTTTTAATGATTAATTTAGCTAGCTCTGGTTGGATGTCGTTAGAAAATCCATTTATCTCTGCTTCTCTGCCATTAGACTTAATAACAAATTAAGAAAGTATTATATTTTCTATGCTAGGAAGTTGTTTTGCTTTAAAAAGGAAGCTGGTCACACTGTGATGTCAATTTACTATAATGAAATGTTTCAAGAACTCTAAGCTAGCAAACGCTTGTATTAATTTAACGCCGTCCATTTAACTTTATTATTACTCAATAAATTGCGCAATTTGTCGATTCCGCCCCTATTTTCAAAATATTTTCTTATTTATTGCCTACACCAGTTATTTATTTCTCCACAGTTTCCACCGCTTAAACAAAAACTCATAAAATGGGCAGACCAAACGGCGCTTCTCGCTGGTCCGCAAGTATTCAGTCACGTGACCTGTTTTTCATAACCAAAATCTTATTTGAAATTCACACCAACAAATTTGAATTTATTTCCTTACATATTAAAATACGCACGCGACCAGGACCTTTAGATTAAAACTAATGGCCCGTGTCAATTCTATCTTTTTGATTCTACGTAGAGGCGAACGTTCAATATTTAATTAATTAGATAAAATTAGTTTACTGTAAATGCTCCATTAAACGAAATGATATCAGTGCTGTCAAAAGCTGCATTTTTTCCACAAACAGACAAAAACTGGTAAGGAAGCATATGATTCTATTTCCGGCTAGTTATTAATACATATAAAATGGAAGAGAAATTAGCATCAACCGGGCTATCGCATGCGCATCTCAGTGCTCGTTATAAAGTTCATACGCATATCAAATGAATTAATCGCACTACCCTCATACATGATTTATCCTGCCTCACCGAACTAAGTATAATCATATCAAGAAATTATAAGAAAGAATACATTATCTAAAGAGAATTTAATCAAAACGTCAAATACTCAAATCTATTAGTACTGCCGACCCCTATTTTTTGTTTTACCGACGTATATAACTTTAAAAGACGTATCATACTTCCTATTAAAGAGGCATCTGCCATGCGTTGTGTTTTAATACAAAACTTGTTCATTCAGAAGGCAAAAGGCAAAGTGATTATCTCGATGAGGGCTTAGCAAAACAAATAATTTCAAGCACCTTTAAGTCGCCTGCATTTAATTTTAACAGCATCAATTTTCGTAAGTACTTAAAGAAGTCCTTGAGTACGCAGAATCCTTGCACAGAATAGAGTTAATTATCGGGGATTAGAATCCTCTTTATAAAGACCCTTTGTTGACTTTACACGTAGTTTACCATGTCGAAAACATGACAATAAATTAAATCTAAGCCAGCGCAGACTCTCAAGCGATTTATGACGGGTTTAATTACACCGGTCAAACATGAAACGCATTTAAGGACATCATTTCGCGCTTTTCCGCTACTACGATCATAACATTGTCATAAAAGGGAATAAATTTCGATAAAATTGAAATAGGAAGGCAGAATATCGCTAGTTTTATTAAAGGAGACAACAGCTAAGAGGTGACATTTTATGTCTAAAGTTAAGAACCAAGCACCTTTAAGAAGAATTGAAATAAATAACAATACATGGAAAATGAGACACGAGCATATGTCATGGAGTATCTCTGCAGTTTAAGATGGAAATTAAAGAAAGAAAATGGAAACTGATCTGCTTTGATAATTATTATATTTAAACTGAGTTGATTGGATGATTTGTAAAAAAATGAAAATGAAGAATTAATAATAGCAGGTTTAATGTTTCCACATAAAAACTAGCTGCTTAATAGAATTTACCTCTTTAAAACATTTCCTCTTCCCTTGTCAATAAAGAAAAGATTTTTATTATTAATTTGAAGAAAAAGACGTTCATTTTATATTCGTTTACGGATCAACGTCCCTTAGCATCTGTCCAGTTAGACCTGAATTCCCTGCAAACATGTTCGATTACCATTCGTAGTAAGACAATTTCATACTTCTTTTATTTTTTAATTGGATGAATATAACGCATTATTCCTATAATGAAATATTGATGAAACATGCGCAAATATTATGTAAATTGATAATGCAAATAGGAAATTAATTTACTTTAATATTTTTCCTTATAATCGAATGATGAATAACAAATAGATGGTATGACAGTTGGAAAATTAAATGTTCAAATTGATCCGGTCCTAGCAGTCATTAAAGCGATCAGGTAGCTATCATACAAAACATCTTAACGGTAGCGTCATGATGAAATTTAATGAAAAGGAGAAAATATGTTTACACCGGCTAAATTGATGGCTTCAGAGTCTCAATACAATTTATTTGATGTTCTCCGGTAAATCACTTTTTCTTCTAGGCATAAAAATTAGTTGATCAAATGCTTGCCGAACCAAGCGATTGAATAGTAATATTATTAAAAATCGTTTATATGCTTCATTACGAAAATAAATTGGGTATAAAATTCCAGCGTGATTATTCCGACACCGTTTTCTGTGACGACAAAATCATTTGTTTTCATTTCTTTGTTTATTGTCGCGATCGAACCGTAGGCAAAATTATTTACAATTCAAATATGATTTCCCTTATTTTTGAACAATAAACGATGTCGACCAATGGTCACTTAACATGATGACCAGACTAGCCAAACCTGCACGTGCCTATCACGCGACATCTTTTATATTGTTTGACCAGGACTGTACACTTGTGACACCGATGCAATCACATTAATGCCAATCTCGTTTTAAAATCAGACATTTCTCATATTTGTATAGGATTGAAACTGAGCATGAATGGAATCGCTTATCAAGAAAACATCAACCCCTTGACGCGTTTAATGATAATTTCTTAGCTAACGCCAATCACATATTTAACGTATCAAAGAACACTTCAGACTCGTTGATGCATTCAGTTTGAATGAGAAGAAAAAGATTTATTGCTCCAAAGCGACGAACCGAGAAGGTGGAGTCTGATGTTAGGGGATAATGATAGGGAATATTCGTTCCAGCCCCTATTTATTATATTGATTCGTAGCGGCTCCACCCTTATAGTTCATATTTGTTCAAATGCCCGCATACAATCATTTTTCAATTTAGTTAGTGCATCACTAAATTCATCTATTATTTTACAAGTATTGCAGAAGATATTTATTTCAAATTTTAAAAGCTTTAGAGGGCACTTGTCGGTAACTGAATGGAATTGTTCAATGCTGCAGAGCTTGTTGAAAACTGAATAAGCACTCTTGTACAATAAACACTTAATTTTGTGACAATGTCTAGATCGTTTTATGTGGACTCTTTAATTGTGAAGGAACCAAGTTTATTTTCTAAGGATGAAGGGCGACAAGGAAGTAGATCCTCGTCAAGTCCCCAGCATGCAAATACAGCTTCAACATTATCCCCTACAAGGATTTCAACACCGACAAGCTTACATGCTTTTCATCCGGTTCCATGTTATCCACGTCATCAAGGTGACGTTATGAGCTTGTGCTGTCCGCTGTGCATTCCAACGCCTTCACAGCTATTTCACGACAGATCTGTGAAACAAATAATGCCACCAACCAGCGTGCCAATATCCTACTCTACAACACCAGTGTCATCAACAGAATTTCACCTGAGAAATTTGCAAACATCTAAAAGAAATACTTTTGACAGTTCTCACCAAATCATTTCTAGAGATCAGGGAACAGAAAAACACAGAAAGTCTCCCATCGACAACGATATAAGCATAATAGATCATCGTAGAATTAGATATGGTGGAATCGGTACGTAAAAACTATTTTTTTTTTTTTTGATATTTTGTACGATAATCATCACTATAGAAATTATTGTCTAAATTTCATTTTAGGCGCTTTGATATTTTTTAAAATATTAATATCTCTCTTTTTTATAGTGACACATTTAAAACTTATTCCGTTCAGATTGTAGTCTATTTGCTATTAATATTGAGTCTACACTATTTTCTACCTACTATTTAAATTTTATTAAGATAACATTTAGTGTATTTTACTTACAGATTTCCTTAACTTTTCAATAAATATCTAAATTGATTTAAGTACTTCTCACAGGGACCGTTTCTTAATAAATTTTCAGTGATAATGAATGGAAATAAATTTAATATAGTTATTTATAAACATGAAGTAACTGCTGATTGAAATTTCTGGTTGAAACTATAGATAAATAAAAGAATTGGTAAAGTTACAAATCTATAAGACAATGTAAATAGCAGATAATTAGAAAATAACTAAATATGCATATATATATATCGCATGTTATATTCAATTTGCTATCTGTTTCAAATACAATAAATTTCATTAAAGAAATTAATATTGAAATATATCTGAAACGAAATCATATACATTAGAATATCAGTAACATTTCTAATAACGCTTATTTATTACGCACCAGATAGTTAAAGAAAAATGGTTAAGGTCATAATATATATAAATTAATATATTTTTCTGATTGATTCCATATTTATGCTAGTATGTTCAGGGAATTATTAATTTTTGCTGACCAAAACTGAGATGCAGAAAAAAATCAATTATATTCATTTTTATTCTTTTTATTTAATAAAAGATAGTAATTATGTTCGATCTGAAAACAACAACAAGAACTGCTCTGATAATTAAGAAATATTAAAACGTACGTAGTAAATTATTAATACATTTACTTTTTTCTGATTAAATTATCATACATGTTTATCAAACTTTGTTCGATACATTTAATTTGTAATTTTGTTTCGAGATTCGTTTATTATTTGGAAAATAATTAATTTATTGTGATCAAGTAAACTACAGAAATATTTGACAATAAGAAATTTATCAATTTGCATATCATTTAAAGTGAAGAATTATATTCATTTAGACTTTCTTTAATGTCAATCGTGGAACTAATTTTGTATTTCCACGCTATTGAGCAAATTTACTCCCTGAACCAAATACATGGGAAATCAAAATTAACCTTAAATATGAAAATCAGAAAAGCTATATATTATTATTTGTTAAAGGATATTATAATTGTTCTTTTCAATTCAATTAATTTGTTATGTATTCAATATTAAGGAAATTACCATCTAATCAATTCATTACAAAATCAAAATTATTATGAAAAATTATGACTTCGTGAACACATTCATTATTGTAATGCTTGTGGAAATAGCCGCAGAAATATTTTGTCATTTTATAAAACTGTTTTTTTTTAGTTTATTGAACTGTTAAACGTTTCATTAACTTGAACAATAATATAAATAAGAAACGTTTTTGGCATTTTATTATATGTTGCAAAACCAGAAGAATTTATTAACCTATTATAAATCTAGTTTTTTAATTTATCGTTGTAGGGGTTACAAGTTCTACAGAAGAAAGCAGTAAACGAATAAGAACAGCTTTTACAAGTTCACAATTGCTCGAACTAGAACGAGAGTTCCTGTCAAATATGTACCTATCCAGACTAAGACGCATTGAAATTGCCACCTACCTTAACCTATCAGAAAAACAAGTGAAAATTTGGTTTCAGAATCGAAGAGTTAAATATAAGAAAGACAGCAATGAGGACTCAATAGAGAAGTGCAAATGTCTCCGAACATGTAATTCAAAAGGTCATCAACGGAAAAGATCAGATGGTAGACATCATCAGCATATAGAGATAGACAGTATAACCAGCACTGATGATGACAGGTATCTCGATGTTACATCTGAATGTGATGCTGATAATGACAGTATTTGTGCTAAATCTGAAGAATCAGCTACTTAATTATACAAACTGATCAATGACAGTAAATCAGAAACTAACTAAGTTGGTGTAACAAACACTAGGGCCACGCTGAAAATATTTACTTTTGCGAGAAATATCCTTAGTGTGAAATTTGAAGAACAAAAACACAAAACCAGTGTCGTATCACGCCCATTCTTTAAATAACTTCTAATCAATATAGAAATAATTAATTTTCAAACTATTAACAATATTATAGCAAGTTCTAAAATCTTTCTTGAAAGAGATGTAAATAACCTGTGGATACTGTATACTCCTGCACAATACCGACAATAAATGCCGGGGTAAATGTTTTTGAGAGCTGAAAGCATACCACTTTGTCATTACGATACATGTTTTGCTTATTATCTAATTATTTAAACTTATGAAGTGTAAAGGTCTTAATTACTTCAAAAGGTTATTTCCTATCTTCCTGTAAAGCAGCATTCCTCCAAATTGATGCTTAAGTTTATGAAAATATTTAAAATGTACTAAAAATTGAAATATTGTGAAGTGAACAAATAAAATAATTTAGCATTGTAAACAGCACTTGTTATCTACGAAAATAGATTAGAATATGCTTAAATAACCCTACTGTGTTAGTCTCGCAGTAGAAGTATTGTTATAATTACTGCATAATCAATCATAAATTGCATATAACATGTAGATTATTTCTTTAATTTTGAATATTTTTACTTTTCTGAAAATCTTAATGAAATTATCTTAAGGATGATTTTCTTAAAATATTTTGACTTATCTGCCTGCATGCAGCTTAAAATTTTAATTCTAAAAAAATGACAAAACAACGATGCTTTACCCTATGCATTATATGAGACAATAAGGTGCTTTGAAATACAATATTCATGTACAGACCCTACCTAAATATATGATATTTATTTATGTAAATAAACTTTTATTGAACAAAAAAATACTGTTTATTTTCTATTGCGTATTGTTTGTTGGTCGTCACCATTTAAAATTTGTGTGCGTATCATACTATTTTAGAATTATTAATTATAGTGCATAAATACAAGATTTAAACCCTCATTTTTTTTTAAAGAATTGTTTTAACGTTCCTCATGATAAAAGATCCAACGAGGATTTCGTTAAAACGTTCGGCGACGAAGACAACTTTTTTCTGTTTTGATTGGTATTCAATTCACAAGTCATTATTTGCATTGTTAAACAATTGGACGGTGCTGCCATTCACCATTCATCTTCAAGATATCAGAATGTGCTAAAGAAAGTACAATATTCCATACCAGTGCTTAATTGTCTTATTTTCCCGAATCCTATCTTGTACTCAATGTTACATATAAATCATAAAATACTAATGTCAAATGTGTGTCAGTCAAATTTATCTGTTCATGTTATGCCAAGAAAGAGTAGAACATCTGTACCTTTGACTACCTTATAAAAATAATGATAAGAATCTTATGAATGTAACAAGTGCAAAATAAAAACTAAACTGTTATAAATTTTACTGATATTTGATTGGCAAATAAATAAAAATGTTATTTAAAAGACAAATTACGTATGTAATAAATTTAAAGATACTTCTTTTGAATATATTTCCTTTTTGAATTCCTTCCAAAATATCAAAATGTATTAATACAATAATGCAAACATATCAAATTAATATGTGTATATATATATGGTACTAATCAATAAAATGTTATCGCACCGATTATAGATACGTGAGTTTCCCGTTAGTTCTAATATTTCATACTATATCTTTTTTTTTAAATTTTTAATTGATTTCTATAGTTAAAGATTGTAAGCTTGTATTTCGAAATATTATAACTTGGGTATTGTTCTCTAGACAGTTTTCTTAACTGAAAAACATGTAAATTCGAAATACAAACGTTTCTGATAAATATACATACATTGTATAAATGACGATCCAGGTGATGTTAACATTTCGAAAGAGACAGTCTGACGGCGGGCACATTTAACAACAGACATTTGAAATTGCTTCCAATGTTGCCTTTGCAAATTGTAAACCTAAACAGAAAAATTTACCATGGACAAAAGTGAAAATGTTGAATTGTCATTTTCATGTTTGCAATGTTAATTAATTCATCCATGATTAATGTATTTCTTTTTTATGAATGCGAGTAACTCGACTATGACGAACAAAATATTGTTACTAGAATTATGAATCTGTAAAACTAATTATATTATTAAGAAGAACACGTTACTTAAAACATGTAAAATCAAATCAATGTTTACCTTAATAGTAAAAAGCGTACACAATGAACAAATGGGCTTCTGTTTAAATCAACCTATTGGCACCAATAGTGTTTTGAAAGGCATATGATGTTAAATTAGCTAAGCCTTTGCACCCGCTCACTCCTAGAGCTATAGGTTCCGTATGTTAATCTCTTACAAGAATATTAGTTTCGCAAACATTGATTCTTAATAGCCGAAACCCTATAAAAGAAAACGTTGGTCCGTAAAAGCATGATGTATTTAGAATCAGTGGGAGATAAAACAATTTTCGTTTATTGTCCTTTGTGTATTCCTCATTTAGAGCCACACACATTGCAAGAATTCAGAAAATTCTTGACGTGTAACGTGTTAATGATAATACCTGTAATACAATACATTGTTGCAAATCGTGCGCATGCCTAAGATGTATTTTTCTAAAAGAAGTAATAAGATATGGAATGTTGTTTTGTCTAATAATATAAAAGGATGCACCAGAGCCGTTATTTACATGAGTTATTGAATAAAAACGTGTTCTCGTGCACACGCGGAACGAAACTAAAATTGGTTTTCTTCAGAATGGGTTAATTTGACGTTTGCCATGTCCACGCATCGTCCAATGATTTTTTTGAAAACAGCACAATGCCATAATCAATTCTCACACACCGTCACTGTTTCTACAGCATCTTCTGCTACTTTCATGGAAACTGGTCACGTGTTTAAGACAGTAGCCTTTCGTACTTTATTGCCATTACGGTAAACAAACATTTACTGCAACAAAAGTATTTTTTTGTAAAACACTATTTTTCTAGCAAACCATTATATTTGCAGCATCTTGTTCTAAACTGAAAATAATATAACTATTTAATGGGGATTTTTTTATTATTTGCCGCAAGTTATTGTTTTATTGTTTTATCATGTTCAACTACATTGGTTTCCTTTGTTTTTTCTTTTATAACTAAATAAGTTCAAACTTGCCAAACACTGCCAAAATGAAAATTCGGCAAGTTCAGGTTAGTTCAGAGACGTTGGAAAATGCAAGGTTTCTTCCTCACAGACACCACAAGTAAAAACAGAATCCATTTTATAACGAGTTTTCAAGATTTTAATTTATTAGCCAATCATATTTTATGTAACGAAATATTACTACAAAAGTTTGAATCGTCTGTCTAAAATTTCTTCTTGAGTTTCTTTTCTATTATAGACTAAATTATAGAAATGGTACTCCTAAAATAGAACCGGTCTATAATTGAAGGTCCGTAATACAATAAATATTTACATGTATGATGATAATTAGTATTTAATATCAGACGTAACAATAAACCACGAAAGAATTATATATGAATGTTGTTGGCAAGAGTGAGATATAACATGATCCGATATTACATATAATATGAGCCGCGTCACGACAAAACCAACATAATGCGTTTGCGACCAGCATGGATCCAGACCAGCCTGCGCATCCGCGCAGTCTGATCAGGATCCATGCTGTTCGCTATGAGTTTCTTTACTTGTTATAGGGTCTGTAAGCGAACAGCATGGATGCTGATCAGACTGCGCGGAAGCGCAGGCTGGTCTGGATCCATGCTGGTCGCAAACGCACTATGTTGGTTTTGTCGTGATGCGGCTCAATTATTCTAGAACAAAATACATGCTTTATTTTTCATCAAATTTAAATGTTCATACCGAATTGTTTAAAACTTTTAATAGAATATCCATATGATACATTTCTATATTCATTTATTTAATAATGCACTATTTTCACTAATATTTTGAATAAATAAATTGGAAAAATGTGTCCATAGTATACCTAACAACCTTAACCTTTGTCATTTTCAACAAATATATTATGCACCAATAAAGAAGTTATTAATTTAATGTGTCCATTGCGACAAACCGCATCAATATTATGGGGCGTCCGTGGCCGAGTGGTTAAGGTCGTTGACTTCAAACCACTTGCCCCTCACCGCTGTGGGTTCGAATCCCGACAGGGACTTTGGATTCTTTCATGTGAGGAAGCTATCCAGCTAGCTTACGGAACGTCGGTGGTTCTACTCAGGTGCCCGTTCGTGCCTGAAATAATGCACGGAAGGGCACCTGAGGTCTTTCTCCACCAGTAAAGCTGGAACGTTGCGATATGACCTATACTGTGTCGATGTGACGTAAAACCCAAAACAAACAAAAGTATCAATATTATTGATACATTATATTAATCGAATTTGTGTCACAAAATTTATTGAGAAGTCTGAGATAACTTAATAATGTAATAAGAAAATAATTTAACTAGTTAATTAAAATATTTATATGTCATATCATGTTTTACATGCATTCAATAAACAGAATAGTGCATATAAATGTCCCTCGAAAAAAATAAACTTAACAAAAAAAGGATAAAATTAGATTTGAGCGATTTGAATTTGATTTGTGTTATTTGAATTGTAATTTCTGTTCAGGAACGTGTTTATTCATGTACCATTATTGTTTTTCAGATTTATCAAAGTAATTTATACATTTACAAAACGTTTAAAATTTACGTAGCAGGTTTTCGGTTTCAAAAAATGATATTGTTGATTTTTTTTCTTTTCTTATTAGTGCTGTTATACCATTATGAACAGAACAGAACAGAACAGAAATTTTATTTCGTAACGTATACAATACAGTATCTTGTTACATTACATATATCAAATATTATAAATAGACAAACACATGATATAATTCAAAGATTTACAGTATATTGTAGAATGAACATATATTGCTGCGAAAAAATTGATTTTGTATTAAATAAATGTATATCAGAATAATCTCATTTTTAATATCAGAATAATCTCATTTTAATATTAAAATTACTAGCGAAATAT